TGCGCACACTCAGCGCTGGGAGTAGCGAAAGTTGGGCTCCATTCCCCTCATTACAGGTCGAACCACCTGGTTTTTTGGTCGGAAAAGGGGGTGGTGGGGGGCCCGGGGGGGGGGGGAAGCGAGCCGTGTGCACAAATAGCCGGAAGCCTGCTGAGCTGATCACAGTTGTCCAGATACAGCTCCTTTAGCTGCTGAAGGCCATGAAACACCTCTGCCGGCAGGCTTTGGAGCTGGTTGTAGTCCAACTGCAGTACTTCCAGCTGCTCGAGGCCATGAAACACCTCTGCCGGCAGGCTTTGGAGCTGGTTGTAGCTCAACTGCAGTACTTCCAGCTGCTCGAGGCCATGAAACACCTCTGCCGGCAGGCTTTGGAGCTGATTGTAGTTCAACTGCAGTTCTTGCAGCCGCTCGAGGCCATGAAACACCTCTGCCGGCAGGCTTTGGATCTGGTTGGAGTTCAACTGCAGTACTTTCAGCTGCTGGAGGCCGTGAAACACCTCTGCCGGCAGGCTTTGGAGCTGGTTGCCGTTCAAATCCAGTTTTTGCAGCTGCTGGAGGCCATGAAACACCTCTGCCGGCAGGCTTTGGAGCTGGTTGGAGTTCAACTGCAGTACTTTCAGCTGCTCGAGGCCATGAAACACCTCTGCCGGCAGGCTTTGGAGCTGATTGTAGTTCAACTGCAGTTCTTGCAGCTGCTCGAGGCCTTGAAAAACCTCTGCCGGCAGGCTTTGGAGCTGGTTGTACGACAAATCCAGTTTTTTCAGCTGTCCGAAGCCGTGGAACAGCTTGGCAGGAAGCCTTGGGAGGTGGAAGCGACGCAGCGTCAGTGCACGAAGCTTGCTGTGCCCGGAGAGGCCCTGCAAATCTGACAGGAATGGTGCCGTGTGCAAAAAGTTGCACTCCAAGCAGGAAATGTCCAGCGTAGCCAGCCCTGTTGCCAGCTCTGCCAGGGCTGCCACCTGGTGAAGTTGAGCTGCGTGGTGGAGGCTCACTTGCATCTCCGTAAGGTCGGCAAAGGCTGCCTGCTCTGCATGCTCACAGAGCGAGGACACAAATGTTTTCTGAATCTGGTCTAGACCCAGTCTAGACCCTTTGCTGCACAGTACCGCTACTACGACATAGTTCAAGCTACACAGAAGAGTCCCCATGTTTGGAAAGTGCTGATGCGCAAAGAAAGTGCACGCGGAGCCTGGAGCTCGGGTGTGGTGGGTGGCACTTCTGCCAAAACGCTCCGCGTCAGCTCTTGAAGCAGGAGTTTGGGCAGGTTGTCGTCCAATCCCGCGAGGGTGGTCAGCAGCTCAGCCGAAGGTTTCACCCGCCACACCTCCCGGGCAGCGTCTTTGCCGAAGTCTCGTCCAGATCCTCCTCTGTTTCCGTTTTTTCGGTCCAAGGCCGTTCGGATCTCATGCAGCAAGGCCAAGCCTCCTTTTCTTTGGAGCCTGTCTGCCTGCCGCAGCAACGTCCCCATCGGAACCCGAAAGACATAGCCCTCTAGGTGAACATGACCTCCACTGTAGTCCCAGTCGGCACCGACTCTGCGGCTGCACTCGGGGGCTGATTGGTTCAGGCATGTAAGCAGCTGCACCACGCCCTCCGAAGGCAGCGCACGCGGGGATGAGTCCCGAAGGCCCAGATGCAGACGTCCTAGCCACGTTCCTAGACTCTGAGACTGGACTTGGTGGCAAAGCTGCTCTCCGCATTCGGACAGCAGCTGGCACAGGGCATCCGCCGAGCCAAAGACGCTTTGCTCGGCCTCTTCGCTGTGGTTAAGAACTGCACAGCCGTGGCTTTGAGCTGCCCAAGCTGCCGGGCTGTCAGCGCCCTGGAACTCCAAGGCCAGATGCTCGGAGGACCACTCCCAGTCCCGAGCGAAGCCCACTTTGCGGGACACAACTGTGAAGCTTGGTGCGGCCTTTAGCTTGCCTGTGAAGGGTTCCATGTCGACAGCGAGGGGCCTGTCTTGCAGTCGCCCGTGGGTGACCCCGCCTTGTCCACCGCAGATCTCGTAGCGCGACCGCACGAAGGCGCTTTCCGCGCATCGGCTGTGCTCCTTGAAGAGCTTCCGGTCGGTCTCATCTGCGGGGTTCCACTGGAACCAGTTTGCCCGAAACGCCTCGGCTCTCGGGACTTCCTCACGTCTCTCGCTCTGGACGAACACCCTGCGTGTAGCTGTGCGCTCGAGGTTCTCTAGAAGTGCTCTGGAGGCTGCACCTGGGCCTGCGTCTCAGCAGCAAACCACGAGCCTATACCTGGACCTACCTCGCTCCTGCACACACTCGAATGGACAGTGGATACAACACCTGCCAGCCTTCCATATTGAAGCCAGGAGGCTGGGTCTGAGAGAATCGGCATCACAAGCAGGCGGAGGCTCTCATAGGCACTGGGGTCGTACCTGGGTGGTTGTCAAAATTATGGTCCCTTTTTGGGTCCTTATCATAATACGGCACCTATTATTTAGGGTACCCCAAAACAAACACCCTAATTTTGACAACCACCCACCTGGAGACCTTGATGACTATCCTGCCTTGGCTGTCCACTGTGCCCTGGCTGCTAAGGACGCTCGTGACATTGCCCTTCACGCCGAGAAGGACAGCCAGCACGTCAGTGACTTGGGGAGGCCCTTGCCGCAAGGAGATCGGGGTGACGTGGGAGTCGAAGTGCAGCCCACCGATCTGGACATTCAGGTTGAAGCTGAGGGTGGCTGCGCCGTTGCCCCAGTCTGGTTGAACCTCGCCGAAGCTGAGCCGCCCTCCCTCCGTCTTCACCTGTCCACAGCGCGTAGTTGCTACCGTGCCCTCGTTCACCTTTCCACTGCCGAGCCTGCAACGAGCCAGCTCTCTGGGTTTCAAACTAAAGCATCCCTAGGCAGCTTAGGCTCTGCATGGTTGCAAAAAAGAAGAGGCCCTCAAGCCCCCATCCTGCAGCCATCCAACTGGCCAAGCAAGCGCTTGTCGTAGCCTGAGGGTCGCTCCGGCTCCGTGCCTGGCTCGAGGTCGCTGACCTCCCAACTTTCGCGGTCGCCCAGAACCAGGTAGCAGCCGGCAGCTGCCGCATAAGAGTGGAAGCAACGCAAGCTGTTTGCACAGAGCTCTGCGCAAAGTGTGTCGGTTGCACCGCGGTGGGGTTCGTAGGATGTCCAAAGCTCAGCACTCGAGTTGGGATTGGGTTTGTGCGCTGAGGCCGCCCGTGGAAGGCCCACGGTGAAGTCTGCCAAGCCGACCTCCAACTGCAGGGCCTCTTCACCTCCAGGGAAAACACCTAAAGGACCTCAAGTCTGCAAGTCAACCCAGGCAAACAGAACGCTGTGCCTGCGGGTATGCTGATGACCGACCCGAATAGCGCCGACCAAGCGACGGCCCTGGTAAAGCTCCCGGCACGGAGCCGCAGGACGGTCGGAATGGTTTCGGCAGGCGAAAAGCGGACCTAGTACTGGGTTTAGGGTTTAGGGTTTAGGGTTTATAGGGTCTAGGGGTTTAGGGGTTTAGGGCTTAGGGTTTAGGGGCGGACCTGGTACTCGGTCTCAGGTCGAGACGGACGAAGGCCCCGGACCCACACAGTCGCCACGCGCGGCACCTGCCGGCCCACCAGCTGGATCTCCTCCACAGCTGAGCTCTGGTTCTCCTGGATGGGGAGGAGTTTGCGCGGATCGGCCGAGCCGGACGTCGGCTCCGGCTGGCCGAAAGACATGAG